GTTGGCAATGGAATGCATGTGAAATTCTGGAATGATAGGTGGATTGGAATGTTACACCTTGTGCGTCCCAAGGTGACGTAATGAATATGAGACTTTTTAATCATTATTTAAATGATTTTAAAGTCATAATATGGCTATATATGATGTTTGGATAGAAAATATGAAGTTTGGGAAAAATCAGATTTAAGTTGCAGAAAAACCGACTAAGGATATGTAGTTTCCAACGCTCTTAACAGTTCGTTCATATGGCACCCGAATAAAAAGTTATAAGCGTTGGAAGAAGGGCCAATCATAGGATGCCAAGTAGCACCTTTTTGACTTTTAAATAAATGGGATTTTTACATCCCATCTCGTCTCTTTCTCCATCTTTCCAGAGAGCTCGCCCAAATAACACCCCTAACTTTGCTCTTAAGCTCTCTGCAAGAGCTTCAAACAAGATTATCATCCCGGGCACGAAATCAAGAAGCGATAACATTAAAACGATCCCTACGACGTAAGTATCGCTATATCGCCCCTCTTTTTCTTTGTAGTTTGAGTTTTGGAAGGTATTTCATAGTTAAGAAAACGTGTACTTTCTGTATTTAAGTGTTTAAATATCAAGGAATGTTGATAAATTCATTTCCTAATAGTTAGAACTCACGGGATGGTGATCGGAAGCCGTGAGTTCGAGTTATTTGACTTGTAGTAGACTGTTTTGTGGACTGTTTCGTATTGCTTTTGGGCTGTCTATTGTGCTGCTAATTTATGGAGTTTTGAAGGATAAAAGGGCGTGGAGAAACGCCACATGTGGTAGGGTAGTAGGCTGGTCGTTCGTTGTTACATTTTTTAGGTTGTTTGACACTACTTTGGTTGTCGTTTTATGTATGAAGTGATTAGGGTGTGTGAGCTGTTTTGTGGTATATTGTGATGGAGATAGGGTTGGAAAATGATGCTTACATGTTGTTATTGTTGTGTTCTTGTTGTTGTTGGTATATGGTATTGGAGGAGGGCCTAGTTACAGGGGAGATGCTGCCCAAATTTACGTAAACGAGCTACTAGTTTAAGTTGCGGACTTAGCCTTTACTCAGCACTGATTTTGAATCTCCTTATGATGTGGTAGATTGAATTGAGTTGTTTGAATAATTTCTTGGAAGGTATTAAGGACTCAACGGAGTTAAGGCTATCCCTTCTTTCTTTTTGGCATGATCCAAATGATACAAACGAAACGAGCAAAATACGCACAACTTACATAAATGACTCTATTCATAGAAATACTAGGGTTGTCTATATTCTTGATTCCCCATGTGAATTATTATTATATCCTCTGTTCATGGGTCTCAGAAAAATACGTATTTGATAAAGTTTGTCCGACAGACATATTGATTTTATGATATTCGAGAAATCTTATTAACGTATTTCTTATGCATTTCATGCATTTATACATGTACATTGACCCATGATCAGAAGGCGTTATATACGCGTATATTATATGTATATGAGATATGGGAAAAGGTTATGGCATTATATACGCACCACCACCTGATCAGCTGGTATACATTGATGATTTTGCCCACAGTGGCTGAGATGATATGATGAGATGCCCTCAGAGGCTTGATGATGTTATGTACGCATATACCTATGCATGGTATGGTATTTATACGCACATGCATGACATTATAAATTTTCATCATTCACAGAGCTATTCAGAATTTCAGGTTGAGTTCTTTACTCCATGTTTCTTTCATGTCTTTTATATACTACTGTCATGCCTTACATACTCGGTACTTTATTTGTACTGACGTCCCTTTTTCCTGGGGACGCTGCGTTTCATGCCCACAGGTCCCGATAGACAGATTGAGAATTCTCCAAGTAGGCTATCAGCTCAGCGGAAGATGTTGGTGCGCTCCATTTGCTCCGGAGTTGCTTATTTGGTCAGTATGATTCGGACGTGTATTGTTTAGTATGGCGGGGCCCTGTCCCGACCTTTATGGTATTTATCTACTCTTAGAGGCTTGTAGACGTATGCCATGTACGTAAAAGATTCTATGGCCTTGTCGGCCTACGTTTAGTGTACGAGCGATTATTTTGGTCTTATAGGCCCAAGTTGGTAGTACATGTTTTATTCTAGTTATCCTACGATAGCATTTCCGTCTCATTTACCCATGATAGCATGATACAAAAAGATACGTTACGTTGGTACTCGGTTGAGTAAGGTACCGGGTGCCCGTCGCGGCCCATCGGTTTGGGTCGTGACATGGAAGCTCAACTCTGAAGGACTCATTCCCTGGGCTGTTTCAGATAGCCTGCAATCAGAACTCCACCATAGCTCATAATAGGGAAGGAAGTACATGGAATCCCTTATTCAGAAGGAACCTATACGATTGGGAAATCAATGATCTACTGGCACTCTTTGAAGCTTTAGAAGGCTACAACATTGAAGAACAACAGCCGGACATAATCATTTGGGGAAGCTCCAAGGAAGGCAAATACACAGTCAAAGCTGGTTACAATCTCATTTGCTCTCAAAATGGGATATTACAGAATTGGCCTTGGAAGCACATATGGAAGACTAGACTGCCTACTAAGGTAATATGTTTCACATGGACAACATTGAAAGGGGCATGTCTCACTCAGGATAATCTAATCAGGAGAAACATTATACTAGTTAACAGATGCTACATGTTTCTCCATAACGCAGAGAGCGTAAACCACTTATTCCTTCATTTTTCAGTTGCAGCTGACTTATGGAATTTCTTTTATTCCGTCTTTGGATTATCCTGGGTCACCCCTCAGTCAGTCAAGGAAGCCTACGATAGCTGGTTTTTGTGGAAAGTTGATAAGGCCATCAGAAGGATATGGAAAATAATCCCAGCAACTATTTTTTGGTGTATCTGGACACAGAGAAATCGCAGATGTTTTGATGGTGTCTCAACTCCAGCATGCTTCCTGAAGGCTAGATGTTTAGTTAGTCTTTTTAGCTGGAACTTCATGACCCCTGTAAATAGCACTGATTACTTTTTGGACTTTGTTAGCTCTCCGATCCTAGCATAGTTTTTTGTATTAATAGAGCTAACAGTCACCTCTCTTTGTAACCTTTTGTTTGCTTTTGCATCTTCTTGATGCCTTCTTAATGATAACACCTTACTTCATCAAAAGAAAATATGTATTCCGCTATATCAGGGCACATTTCATTCCAAAAATCAGCAAAGATTGAAATAAAAGGAAAGATAGTTCTCATTACAAAAAGAACTTTGTAAATCATTGCCCATTAACTTGTATTATAAGACCTAAATCAAAAATCGGTATTGCCAAGCCTGGTAAGAATGTCTACCTCAGTACCTAGCACATGTTATGACCATTTTGTGATCTCCACAGCATCTCAAACCTAAATGGCTAAAAGCATTCAAATCAATAATGGATGTTCTACTCAGCAAACAATAACGAAGTAAACAATTTATCTACCAACTCTTGCATGCCCAGCAGCTGCGTATTCGCTATTTTATTCAACTTGAAGAAAAAACACAAGTTTTTCAAGCGTCTTATGTAAGCATATATGAGAACAAGGTTTTCTGAATTAAAAAGAGAATAAAGTGAAAGATTTATTAGGATGGAGAGGAGAGCAAGTGACTAACGTGGACATGTGATTGCTGACGGTGAGGAGAGGAACACCGGCAGGGCGGGATCGAACGAGCTGGAGGAGGGTGTCGCCGTTGTGGACAGTGGTGGTGTTGAGTAGATTCGCCACCGCCTTCGCGAACGCACCTACCGCCGTGATCACCATTTTCCTCGGAAGACCACCCAGGTGGTTTGCTCTCGCCGCCCACTCCATCGTCCGACCACCCGCCATTTCACTAACTCACTGATGTTCAACAGTTCAAGCCCGGCGGCATAAACTTCTTTTGTTTGGGCACCAATTTATTACCGATTAAGTACTTACACATATAACTATTCTTATCTCCTTGGTGAATTTTTTTTTACCCTATCTCAATTGAGTTCTTTAAAACCTATTTAACATTTATATTATCATCTTTGTCTCTTTTTTTAAGCAAACCTAATTGCTTATTATTGGTTGCTGATTCAATCTAAAGACAAATCTTTGTTAGTTCAAAAATCTTTGTCTCTTCTTTTATTTACTTATTTTTTAGTATCACAATATATTTCTCTTTTTTAATAACATAAGCTTAGCTATATGACAATTAATCTTATTTCTGAAGTAAGAAACAATAATCAAACATATAAGTTAAGTTAATAATGTTAATAATAAAAGAAATGAAAATAAAGTAGTTTGCTTGTATTATATTTTTTAATAGCAATTAATACTCAAAACATTTGTTACACAATATTGAGAATACATGGGTTTCCTATGAAGGAAATTATTTTTTTAGAAAAAAAGTTGTTTTCTAGCAACTAAACATTTAAAAGCATAACTCTCTTAGCTTATGCTTTCTTCAATAATCCATTTGAAATGGTTTTCGATATTTAGAGAGTGAAGAATAATGAGATAAAAAAAATTCAGTAATAGTTTTCGAAAAAAATGCAGCCTAGAAGAGAGTAAGAATTTTTAAACCTATACTTAATGGTTGTTATAAAAAAAAATCATTACGCAAAATTTATGACTATTTCTTTACAAATGTCTATTTATACTTTAAACATATTTTAGATTATAATATAGATAAAAGTTTCATTGATGCCTATCAAAATTAAAAAATCCTTACACATAATAGAGAATAAAAAGATTGAAACTTAAATATAATTTTAAGTAAAAATTATAAATAAAGGTAGATTTTACAACAACTTTGATTTCAGGTTGCTTTATTTTTCAATTGCAAATTACTTATTTTGAAGAATTTTCTCAAGGGTAGGGGAAGCTAAAAAAAAAAAAAAACCAATATGAAAGTTGGATTTTTATTTATTTATTTTTTTTTTTTTTGTGATGAAATAAAGATGGATGCTTCGATTTGACTGAAGTCATTAAAAAGGGTTGGGGACAAACATAAGGTGAGAATTAACTACCCTGTCTGTCTGAACAACACTTGTCTTCTCCAAAAGTCCACCGCTTTAAATTCAACTAACCACTCAACACTTTTAACTTACCCCATTTCCCAAATGTGAAGTCTTTCACTTTCTCTCTTACTAAAACCCTACCCACCCATTTTCCACAATGCCCAACCCCAAACCGAAATCATTCTAGGTTTTGCTAAACAGTGAGAATAAGTGATGGGTGTTAAGCTTCTGATGCATTTACAGTTCCCTTTGCTTCTATTTTCTTGTTTTCTGCTTCAGCTCTCTGCTTCCACTTCTGTAAGTAATAAGTAATAACCCACATAGCAAAATATTCTTGCAAATTCTTAAGAGTAAATGTTATTGGAATTCATGTAGTCATGTGAATTTGGAGCAAGTTCTGATTTTTTTTTTTTTGAATTCGCAGGTCTCCAATAAGACAGTTGATGCACAAGTAGCCCCTTCTTCTGAGAATCAAAGTCATGATGATGGTAATCATTTTGATTTTATTCGACTATTATTCTCCAGTCATTTTCTTTGGAACTGATAGATTGGCTGTTGCCAATATCAGAGGCGGAGCTAAGATTTCAACTCTAATGTTTTGGATTTTAGAACGACGATTTTAAGAGCTACTAACGGTTCTAAATTTACTATTTGTACATATTTAATGAATTTTTTAATAGAAATAAGCAAAAGCTAGTGGGTTCGGCCGAACCCGCAATTAGGCTTTTAGCTCTGCCCCTGGCTAATATGATTAGGGCTCTCTGAATTCTTTTGGACTCTATAATTGAGTTAAATCTATAATTATATTTTTCTTATAATGTTTCATTACATATGACTTTATGCATCCAGTCCATAAAAATATTACTTGTCCCTCTGGTCTTGTTCCCAACACTAAAGTATCGGGCATTTCTAGGGACTAGCCTTCTTTATCTAGTCCACTAATAAAAACTGAAGTTTACACAATATCAGCATCAAACCTAAGTTGATTTCGAGTGATACACGATTCATAACACAGAGGCCAAATAATGGCTGCCGCTATCAGGTTCATAGGACACATGGGTAGAGGAAGGGAAAAATAACTGAACTTATAGATGTTGTAATTGTTAATGGCCAGGTGGAAGCATTGTGCATAGGCCTTCTTAAGCTTAGTTTGAGATGGCAGTGTTAGCCAATTGTGGTTAATGTTTCAGTCTCCGGATCTTGGAAACCTTATCCCAAATGAATTCTTTGAACATGATCCCATGCTTGCTAGCACAATCATATGAATCGTGTATCATATAAATCAAGCACGATTCATTTGGCTGTCCATTCACTGTCAATGCAGAGTGGCTCCCGTATTTAAGTATGAAGGTACAGACACTTTCAGAGTGAAAATTCATCTTTAGTTGTGGTATTAGATATAAACAAGTTAATAATACCTAAGTTTCGTGGTCCATCATGAATTTAAGATCTAATGCGTGGTCCATCATGAATTTAAGATCTAATGCCTTTTGAACATCTCTTTTGGCTTTTGTTTGCTTGCAAAAATAAGCTTCTTTTTTAAGCACCCAAGTGTATGGCCTAATGGTCAATGAAGTGGTTATGAGAACCTAAGGTCTCAGGTTCAAATCCAGCGGAGACAAAAACACTAGGTGATTTCTTTTCATCTGTCCAAGCCTTGGTGGACAGAGTTACCTGGTACCTGTTGCTGGTGGGAGATCTCAGGTATCCCGTGGAATTAGTCGAGGTGCGCGTGAACTGGTCCAGACACTATGGTTATCAAAACAAATATAATTCTTTTATGTAAATATTAGTCATGTTTTTGAATTTGATTTGCAAAACTTTTTTCTACTTGTTTTACCATGTATCCCCAATCCCTTGTCCTAGAAAAGTGGGAAGAGATAGAAGAATGTTATGGGAAAGCAACATAGGGGCTTTTCACTCAATAGAATTTCCAAAAATTAGAAGAAGCCCTTGAGTCAGTTGGTAGTACCTTGTTCTAGTTCTAGTTCAATTTTAGAAAAAGAGGGAAGAGACAAAATACACTTGGTGATTTCTTCTCATCTACCTATGTCTTGGTGGGCAGAGTTACGAGGTAGCTGTGCTAGTGAGAGATAGCAAGTATTCGGTGGAATAGTCGAGTTGCACGCTAGCTGGTCTGGACACCACCGTTATAAAAATAAAATAAAGAAAGAGCGAAAGAAGTTGTCTGAGTGACTATCTAGGAGAAAGTCTGGATAAATTTTGAGTATTATTTTTTCGCTCACTAATTAAAAAAAAACTTTTGAGTATTTTTTTTTCTTTTTAGATAAATCAAGAAGTCAGAATAAGTATAATTATAGCACTAGTGTAACTGAAACTTATTTTGATCTGTCAAAATGATTTTTCTTAGTGTAATTTGTGATTTTTAACTACTCTAGTTATTATGTCTCATCTGTTTGACACTATTGAGTATTGTCTACTGTTTTGCAAGCAGGAAGATGTGATCCTGGTTGGTTTAGCAGCCCAAATGGGAAAAAGTGTTTCAAATATAATGCAACCTCTTTGCAATGGGATGAATCAGAGATTTACTGCAACAGTTTTGGAGGAAACCTTGCTGCCATAACATCTTCAGAAGAACTGAACTTTGTCCAAAAGCTCTGTGGCAATGATAGTAACAGATGCTGGGTTGGTGGAAAGAGCATTAATACTACTGCTGGTTTGGGTTGGAAATGGTCTGACAATGAAGCTAGTTGGAATGAGAGTCTTGATCTTAAGTCAACTTTTAACTCAAGTTGCAAAAATTTCTCATGCTATGGCTTTAAGTCAGCGGATTTGTGTACATCGATAACCAATGGCACTACACCCCTTATAGCTGAGAGATGCAATACAACTCATGCCTCTATATGCATGCTTGATGCCGGTAAGTGATTGCCGAACAACTTATTTCTAATTGCTTTTCTTCACCAAGTGTAATTTTGAAAAGTGGGAGCAAACTCTTTTCCTGATATAATGTGGTGATGATATGTGTCGACTAACAACTCTATAGTCCCCTTTTAATTTTTCCATGAGCAGTACATTTTAGATAACCATTATCCAATCTACATGCCTTAATTAGATATTAAATAATCTTCTGATGTTTTTGATACATTAGGGAGCAAGTGTCGCCATATGCGCTGCCACAGGGAATATCTCATTATCCTTGCAGTTGTGAGTGGGTTGATTCTTTGCACTACTTTGGCTGTTGTGATATGGCTTCTTGTTTATAGGCGAAGTAAAAGACGGAGAAGATCTCGTGCATCATTAGCATTAGTTCCACCATCTTGGAAAATCTTCAATCGTGACGAAGTAAAGTCCATGACAAAGAATTTCAGTGAAGTAAATCGTCTCCTTGGGGATGCCAAAACAGGTGGTACCTATAGTGGGCTTTTACCTGACGGTTCAAGGGTGGCTGTGAAAAGATTGAAGAGGTCTGGCTTTCAGAGGAAGAAGGAGTTCTACTCTGAGATTGGAAGGGTTGCAAGACTTCATCATCCAAATCTGGTCTCCATCAAAGGATGTTGTTATCATCATGGTGACCGCTATATCCTGTACGAGTTTATTATCAATGGACCCCTGGATAGGTGGCTACACCATATTCCTAGAGGAGGTAGGAGTTTGGACTGGAGCATGAGAATGAAAGTCGCCACCACCCTTGCTCAAGGAATTGCGTAAGTAGCGTTAATATTATCTTCATCTGCATTGTAGATTAGGAATAAATATTTTAATTTATCCTTGAGATGGATTATTTTAGTTAGAAATGTGCGTTTATTCTTTAAATCTTGTCATACATCCCTTCTTTGTCATGAGTATGAACTCATGTATACATGTTTGGCTTCATGTCAATTGGGGGATGTTATCGGGAAGTCATACAAGGGTAAATATAGATGGTTCGAATGCATGATTTATACTATTAAAAAAAGAAAAAGAAGAAGAATGCATGATCTCTCTTGCAATATTTCCCTTCTTATTTCTTTGACATGGAAATGCCGGTGAATAAAATTTCCAGAGGCTTATGAGACCACTCACTGCCCAACCCCCAACAAGAAATATGTATGGAAATTTTTTTTGAGGGTTCAAGAGGAAGCCTATATATTAATTCCAATTATTCATGATGATATAAGATAGACCAATCCACGGGCTTATCTAGCATCACCAGATTGTATTGTAATAATAATGTATGGTCCCTGGTGGTTTAACTTTTCCCGGACTTCTTTGATCAGATTGTATTACTTTCCATAATTTATTTGGTATAAGTTGAAAAATATAGGTCACTTGAGTAAGCTGGGCTCTACTTCCACAGGGTAGGGGTAAGGTCTGTGTATACACTTTATATGGAGGTCGCTGCCATACGCAAATCAACCACGATGCCTAGTTCTGGCTATCGATGGATAAGGTACCTTAAAACCAGTCACGTCTATGGTATATTTGTTAAAAACGAAAAATAGAGAAAGATGATGCAGGGTCTATTACTAAATTATGTTATTCTCTATTACTAAATTATGTTACTGTCTATTACTACTAAATTAGTTTATTACCTAATTAATTTCTGAATTGAGGGATCTAGCTGCCTAAGGTGAAAATGACTGGTCTGGTTGTGTTGTTGTGCGGAGGTAGTTGAAAACTCTCGGTTTTGTCATACTGTTTCAGCTAGTGCACAAGAGATAGTGACTCAAGAGCTGCAAATTATTTGTTTGCAAACCTCTGTAATGGCAAATTCTTTGCTTGTACATAGTTTTGTGCTTATTTCATCAAATTTGACAGGTTTCTTCATGACAAAGTGAAGCCACAAGTTGTGCATAGGGATATTCGTGCAAGCAATGTACTTCTTGACGAAGATTTTGGCGCCCATCTAATGGGAGTTGGTCTGTCTAAGTTTGTACCATGGGAAGTAATGCATGAGAGGAGAGTCATGGCAGGTGGTACTCATGGGTATCTTGCTCCGGAGTTTGTTTACAGAAATGAGCTTACTACAAAAAGTGACGTTTATAGCTTTGGAGTTCTCCTGCTTGAAATTATGAGCGGACGAAGACCAGCACAAGCAGTTGATTCTGTTGGTTGGCAGAGTATATTTGAATGGGCCACGCCTCTGGTGCAGGCCCATCGCTATGTAGAGCTCTTGGATCCTCTCATATCATCTTCTTCTTCTTCTCGTATTCCTGAAGTTGGAGTTATCCAAAAGGTTGTTGACCTTGTTTATTCTTGTACACAACATGTGCCATCAATGCGTCCGAGGATGTCCCACGTTGTCCACCAGCTGCAACAATTAGCTCAACCTCCTAGTGTAAAGTAAGTAGAGAAGAATTACAGATCTGCAGTTCTTCTAACAGAAACTAGTTACACTATGTTTCTAACCTATTTGCAAGGGCCACAACTGTTTTAGGATTTTATTATCACCTTGCTGATGGACATGCAATGCCTTGAAACAGTCCATAATGGTTAAAATGTAGCTACAGTTACTAATCTGTACGTGTAAGGCCAGTTGATTTTCACTTGATATCACCAAAGCCGGTATGCATTCATCTTGCGGGTGCTTTATATTTTATAATTTATTATCACTATCTTCAAAGTTTACTTCTAATTTCCTGTAATTGTCATTATGCGTAACAACCTATTCAAGATATGTCCACGGATTTTTTTTGAGATATTGTCAAAAGAATTCCAGAAACATGTTTGTTCCTAAAATATGTTTGTTTAAATTCTTTCAAGAAACTTCTGCAAAGAAAAGTTCGTGAAGAAGTGTTTTGTTGGTTTTTCAAAGAGTTCTTCCATTTACAAAACACACACAAAAAAGAAGAAGTCCGATACACTAAGCTCCCGCTATGCGCGGGATCCGGGGAAGGGCCAGACCACATAAGTCTATTGTACGCAATCTTACCCTGCGCTAAGCTCCCGCTATGTACGGGATCCGGGAAGGGCCGGACCACCTAAGTCTATTGTACGCAATCTTACCCTGATTGCGAGAGGTTGTTTTTGCACAAGTTGTCTTCAAATTTTTCAGAAGTAGTCAAAGCGATTTAAAGCATCTTAGGCTAAACTTAGTCGGACGGTAGATATCTGTTCTGCAAGGATGTCGCTTAAAAAATTTCAAAGAGATTATTGCTTTTCTATATTCGCTCGTTTATTCTTCTCCAATTTACCAGCAAGTGGCATCCAATACTGCCACTTATTCGAATCATGCTCAAGCAAGAGTTTGCTCAACGTCGGTTCACTATGAACAGGCGAAATTGCTATTTGCAAATATACATTCTCATTATTGCAACTATAGAAGTTTGCATCGATGTATATACATAATATGATTACGAATGGAAAACTAGATTGCATTGCAGAATGCCGGTAATTACAAGAGGGTCTCCAAAAATGTAAGTACTGCCATTCCAGCTGCCCAAATATCATCATCTAATACATGCTCCGCAGGAGAATGGCTGATGCCTCCACGACAACGCACAAATAGCATTCCCACCTATTGAAAAATAGTGAATCTTTANTGAAAAATAGTGGATCTTTAATACAAACAAGAAAGAAGATCACGTTCATAGTGTCAATGAAGTGGGTAAGTAAAACCATGGGACACACAGGGGTTCCTATTTGCCTAAGTGGACAGAGCTACCTAGTACATGTACTATGAGAGGTAGCAAGTGCTAAGTGAAATAGTCTCGCAAGTGGCCCTTACACCACCATTATCAACAGAAAGAAAGAAAATCACGTCCAAGTAAAAAAATACAAGGTTTTGAGTATAGCTCACCTTGGTTAGATGAGACATGGCCATTGCATCATGACCTGCTCCACTCATCAGTACTGGAACATCACCAGGATCCTCACCGGTAATTCTCTTCAAAGCAGCATGAGATGCAGATTTCAGCTCTGTACTTAAGCCAGGATCGCAAACGACAGCATTTGCATCATGCTAAACCAATAAGAGAAGTGTTAGTCATAGAATATGCAGCAGGTAACGCCACAGATAATTAGGTATCTCTCACCTTTCGCTCAACGTTACAAAAGACAGAACGTCGATCACACATATGATAAAGTCTATTGGAGAATTCATAAATTATAGCTTCTCGTCCCGTGTCATCCATTGCACGTACATCTACAGTGAATGTCACCTGTGAAAAATGCTCATATAGTAATAAGCATCCCAGATATTCTTGTTTCCCTGAATATTGGATGATGAACAACCAAACAGTACGTGAGTTGTACGCCAGAAGTTTTAAGGAGTGCTTGCCTGGCCTGGAATGACATTACTTGCACTTGGCCAACTTGATATCTCTCCAACAGTACAGACCAGAGATCCTGCAAGAGATTCCACTGTTGAAGAAGCGCATTGACCATCATAGGACAGATAATAGTCAGGTTGTTTACAAAGGCTTTCCAGAAATACAATTAGTTCAGCAGCTGCAACCATAGGATCCTGTCGCATATTCATGGGCACTGTTCCTGCATGTCCTTGTGTGCCTCTCACTGTCACCTGCAGAGCTTAATTCAAAAGTCTGGTCAAGCTAGCATTACTTCAACCAAAATTATATGGGATAATGTATACCAAAAGGAGATTAGTAGTGACAACTAGAAGTAAGTCAAGCTGTAGATTGTGCGAAGAAAAGACTTACTGGACAAATAATTTTCTCACATAATTTAAGTACTTTTCCCCTTTGTAACATCATATCATCACAAAGATCAGAACTGCCTTTTACTAAACAAACCTAGATAGACTGAATAGATACAACAGCCAAGCGGACATTCTTATTTCTTCATTGCACGTTATATACCAAAAGGGTACTTTATCACCATGATCCAACATCTTACAAGGAGGGATGAAACGAACCGTGGAAATAAAGAACTAGAAAAAGGTGTTTAAGCTATAGGAAAGGAAAAAAAGGGGGGAGTTGTACATGGAGGATAAGTTTATGTTAGAATAAAAGTAGATGACAACCAAGAGGCAGTAGGATAAGAATACATACCTTCAATCTTGTCTGCCCTGCTATGCCTTTTACTAAACCAAGAGGGAGACCAACAGTCTCCAGTACGGGTCCCTGTTCAATGTGAACCTGCGAAAGACCATTAGAATAAGATCCACCATCAGCAACTATGTTACCAGAGATCTTATGAAGTAGTTAGTAATTTCGATATGGCATATTGAGAACTATTATTGACCTCAACATAGCCCCAAACAGATTCTGGTTCATATTTGAGCTGCAAAAGGTTTTCTTCTGTAGTTTCTATAGAACTTGCTCCCAGAGCACCTTGCACTGTCACACCACTGAAAACAGTTGCACATTAATGTATTGAGAAAGAAAATCCATACAAACAAAGACAAGCTTTTAGGTTAGCCATACAAACTTCTTATCATGTATTTGCAATGCTGAAACTGGTAATAAGCCAGCAATAGCTGCACTTCCCAAGAAGGTCGACTGAAACCTCACTCCCTCCTCATCACTAAATGCAATTACCTGCAAAACAGTACATAAGATATTTGCAAAACCGGAGAAACTAAATAATCTTTGATATGATTTAACTGAAAATAAAAGCTGTAAAATAGAAAGAATACAAAAGAGAAGTCAGATTGGCAGCAACAACACATTAGACAACTAGCACTATTTTTAGTGCTGTAACACTTGCTACAACTGCTCAAGGATGTAAACTCAAAATTTTGATTGTTCCAAGGATATAACGTTCAAAGATTGCAGAATATACTTTTTGAGCTAGGGTTAGATGGCCAAGAGAGGAAAATTTCACAGCTCAGTAGTGACTAGTGAGTTCACACACTTCAAAGATGAAAGACAAGGAGATAAGATGACTTTCCCAAAGAAGCAGAAAGATGCAATAAGGAGGAGAAGGATAACCAGGGAACGCTAAACTTAACAAATACTCCAAAACTCTTACAGATGGATCTGAACTTGTTCTCTTGAAGCTTACTACTATACATTAGCAAGCATCAACCTCAGAAGTTGTGAAAACTACTATAAATTATGATAGGAACTTTGGCTGGTAAAGACATATTCAGCAAAGCAGACTCAGTTAGTAGGGAAAGACAGAGAGCTAACAAGTATTAATCCATTTTCCAATTTCAAGGCCTCATATGCAAGTCACGTCTTTAGCGAAGCTTGCAACCACAAACATTAGCTTCTGAGTTGAATTGGTTTTAAATGTAAATCTCAAAGACAAAATTGACACAGTTTGAAACTTGGCGGTTGAAACCAGAACATAGTCCAAACTTCAAAGATCATTTGTGGGAGAGCTCATGACTAGCAACTTACAACTAGTACTTTAACTCATGATCCTAATCAATCTAGCAACTGAAATTTGTAGTTAAGTTAAAGAAGAAATTACTTTCTGGAATTCAGATTGGGCACTTCCCGTAACAATTGTCTTTAGGAAAATAAGAGGTCACAAATAAAGTTGCAGCCCCCCTTGGATATAGCTGATAGTAACTTTTAAAAAACGGATTTGATAGTTTAATTAAAAAAAGATATTACCCTTACGGTTACAACTAAGAATAACAGAACAGAAAACATGCCAGACGATAGCATGTTTGCTTATATTAATGTGTCTCACCTCAACCGGCCGCCTGAGTTTATCCAACCTTCCAGTGGCATTCAATGCCTTCAATGCAGATATTGCACAAATTATGCCCAATGAGCCATCAAAGTATCCAGCATCGATAACTGTATCCTGTTGCAACACAAAAAATTCATTTTCCGGTTCTTCTGCAGCATCTTAAACTAGTGATGCTGGGAAGTAAACCAAATATACTAGAAGATATAATGTAAGGAAATCAATGCGTCACCAAATGGGAGCCAATTAACAAAGCCTTTTCACTTGGATTAATCCCATCAGCCCGACCATGGACATTGCCCATTTGGTCCACCCACCTGGAATCAGGAGTGCTCTCAATTAAGTTTCTGAAGCATTAAAATATAATACGATAAGTTGAAAACTTACGTCTTCAAGCCCGCATCTTCCATCCATGCACGAAGAAGATTTCCTGCTCTGATCGATGCAGGGCTCTGGAATGTCCTTTCAAGGTAGTCATTTGCATCACTTACCTGCCACACAACACAAAACTTGTTACTTCAGCTCTTCTACTGATGAAAAGTTGGATAAGAGATAGCAGCCGTGAAACGGACTAATGGATTTTCAAAATTTGAAACCTTCCAGTGATGCATATTGTATTGTATGTATTCCAAGGAAGAACAAAACTCTGGTAAGACACAAGAAAAAAAACATTCCTCACAGGAAATTTGACTTCCACTAGTAATGATATAAATAGATTCCCCTGCTTTAATACCTTTCCGAGCTCATTAAGTCTAGCAACAGCTTCCTCCTTGAGGATTTCAGGAAACAGATCATACTTTATGCCTTGTGTATTTTCACCTAATAATGACAAAGAGAATTAACCACATTATTACAACTTTGAGGTGTTTAGCATAGAAAAGCAATTTTTGCTTAAAAAAAGAATCTTGCCCGATGAGATGGAAAGGAAACAGTTCTGTGTTATGACAAATACAATATTTTGGATTCAGAA